TTGGCTCGCTGGATATCATTTTACTTGGACGCAGAACCAGTGAGAGACTTTCCGAGTTCCGATCAATACCGCATTTCTGTCTTCCTTCCCAGTGTGCAGCTGAAGTGACAGCAATCAGCGCGCCCGTTACCAGCAAGTTCACTTCTCCAAATAACTTGGCACTGAAAAAACGGCATCCCGCTAACTGGTCGCTTACCTACCTGAACCTACAAACATCACTAGTACACAAACCAACCTGGTGTCTGAACGTTCACCTTCCATGGACAGCTGGAGAATGTCTGGCTTCTGTGGTGCACGTGTTAACACCAATTAGCGCAGCTTGTGCAGTCTATTTTTAGAATTCTAGGGGAGGATTTTATGGTTCAGACTACAGTGATCTTGGATGGCAAATTTCCGAGAGAGGAAAATCTAGGTTTCATTATAACCAAAAGGGCAAGGTAACAACCTTTCTGTGGTACGGTATAGAAAGTCTAATAGCAGATTCTGGCGTCGCGCTGTGACAGCCACACAATCTTAACTGCTATACATGAGGTGCAGCGGCCAGCTTCCTCCTCTGTCGCCTTTGCTTCCCAGAAAATTCTGGAAATGAACCGAAATCCATTTTACGAAGCATAAATACTGCGACTCTGGGAACTGAACCCGAACCACTGGTTAAATACACACGTCAAACATCCCTACCAAATGCTTTCCATAACGGTCCACGCTGTGGGCATTTGTGTAGGCCAATCAGCACATAATTTCTTTCCAGAAATGACATGGCATCCATCTTAGGTTTGATTAGCGTATGAATTTTTTTTAAAGTGCGAATTGGCACCTGAGACAACAGATAGCGTCCTCTTAGACTGTTCCAAATACAGCACGTCAGAGCAAAACATCTGGTCAACAGAAATACCTGAGCAAGCAAAACTTTAGTGAAGTCCATACTAGAGACAACATTGCGAATATAGATAATCTCTTTCAAGCGAACGAAAGCAGATTTCGTTTTGTTTTAATCGTCGGCAAGATGGGGATTCTGCAAACAATAGAGTCGGTGGGCAAGCGTGCCAGCAGATTTGAGCCTTCCGCGGCTTCAATTTATGTTTGTAGCAGGTCACATAGGAAAGGTCAGGGGTAACAGTCTACGCTACTACTACTAGTGCTAGAGGAGCCAGTTAAGGCAGTTTCGTGAAAATGTGATATCTAAAACATCTTGTGCAGACTGCATTTTCATGTAAAAATCATTCAACGATTTAACACACACAAAGGGGGGGGGGGGGGGGGGGGGAGAAGAGAGAGAGAATTAACCAAGAGATTTTGTGAATAAATTGGCATTTATATTATTTATCTAAATCCAGTTGTGCAAGGATACAATAAATACTTACAACGTTAGCATACCCACACACTCTGTCACACACGACACTCACCTACTCACAATATTCTTTTATTAATAAAAATGTTAATTTTCCGATGTTATTTTTCCTAAACTCGGAAACTACTGAACCGATTGCTTTCAAATTTGCACACAACGTTGCCTTTGACTCCAAGCATGATTTTTTGTCAGAAAATCGCACAAACCACGAACGACGTAGCTCCAGCAACGATCAAATCATTATTTGTTTCGTTGCCGGCCCGGATTTCTTTTTAGTTGACTGGCTATTTTTGGCTGCCGAGATCTTATTGAATGCATTATTATATAATATCATTTCCACTATCTGTTCGAGTATTTGGTAATGTAGTTGGTAACTATCTTGCTTATCGTGCGGGTGACCCGCGTTCGACTTCCCGCTAGGTGATATAATATTTTTTTTTAACCCCTAACTGGGCGGCTGTGACGTTGTGTTGTGCTTTATGGCTAGGCTGCGATATCTACGCCTTTTTCGGTTTTTTGGTTTACAGCTAGCCTGCGACAGCGGCGACGTGATGCTCAATGGTTATGTCACGGGTATTCTTCGTTCGCCCTCAGGAGGGCCGTTGACACGTTGTGTTGTGGTTGACAGCTAGGCTGCGATATCTGACCTAAACTCTTCAGTCTTCGGTAGTATAGTTTTAAGTATTCAATCCTTCACGGGGGTGACCGGTATTCGATTCCCCGCTGGGTGATAATTGTTCTTTTTCCCTTAAAATTGTGGTTTTCACGTTGTATTGTGGGTTACAGCTAGGCTGCGATATCTGCGCCTTTCGCCCAGACATCCGATTTCAGTTAAGTCACAATTTGCCTCCTCGCGACGCTTCTCGGTCAAAAACTATTCGGCGATGACACAAACTGTTACCTAATACGGCTTACAGTCCAGTTTAGTTTGGGTAGACACGAATGCCAATGTCAGTTTAAAATCGCTCCTTCGGAGAGCGAGAGATGACGGGTGCGAGGTATTTTTCTCCGCTATTCGTGAGTATAGTGTACTTTTCACTGTGGGTTCCATCATTGGTTACGTGATGACGTTTTTTTAATTTCTATGTCGGGAGCAACATTAAACTAAATAGTCCGTGGCGACAGCATGCGGCGTTAACTCCTCTTTTCTACGCCAACCTATTCAGACTGTCGTGTAGGTTTTGTTGTTGTTGTTGACATTGTTGTTGTTGTGATGGTGGTGGTGGTAGTGGTTGCAGTAGTACTGGTACTGGATGGGTGATGTGGTAGCTGTTACACTGGCTACATTTATTTCTTTGTACAAGTTAATGCTACCTATTTAAGTCTGGGTGGATACTGATGCCAAGCTCAATTTAGTTACCATATTTCGTCACACGGTGACTTTCCCATTCTTCGGAGAGGATGATGTGATATGGGGTGCGGGTTATGTCAGACACAGTTATCTGAGAGAGCTTAAAATATTTTTTTAACGTTCCTATTTCTTAGCTATTTCTATTTTAATAATTTCGCCAGGTGATGATTTTTAAATCCTTCGGAGAGGGACATATGATGGGAGTATGCCACACACAATTAGCTGATAGAGCTTAAAATATTATTTTAAAGTTCTCATTTCTTAACTATATCTATTTTTATAATTTCGCCATGGATGATTTTTCAGTCATTCGGAGAGGGAGATATGACTTCGCCAGGTGATGATTTTTCACTCTTTCGGAGAAGGAGATTTGATTGGGGGAGCGGGGGGGGGGGGGGGGGGTGGGGATGACAGACACTGTTAGCTGAGAGCTATTTTCTTTCCTCTAAATTTTACCATTCTGGGCCACAGCAACGCGTGGCCGGGTACAGCTAGTAATCTGTAAATGGGTTGGTGTGGTATTCAGAAATGCAAAAGTGTGACTTAATTACTGACTTCAGTCAGCCTACAAATTGGTCATTGATTGGTATTAGTGTTATTCCCTTGTTTGGGTGCTTTTCTGTTATGTTACACAATCTCTTAATTATAAATATCCACCTTTGTAAATAATTCAAGTGCTTAGGTAAGCCGATCTATGTGTGTTTGCGGTAAACAAAAATAGTTGTTATTGTTTTTACCACACAGCTTCCGGTAGACATAATACAGGTCAGTATTTATGTGCACTATGTTCTATGTATTAATGCCGCATCGTCAGATTACTAGAAGTGTAATTTATGACATGAACTAGCTGAAAGTTGGTCTGTCACGGCGCCCATGAAGGGTTCCACGCTACAGCCACGTCCATGATATCCTGCCGCGGGGTGGGATGAATTAACGACACCGGCTTTTTCTGGAATCACGAGTTGGAATTGAGACGCCGTGGAGAACACACGAGTTAACTAACTTAACGCTGACGCATTCTGCACGACACGACACGAGAAGCCGGCTTCCATTGGCTACTTTATGTTAGGGCACAATGGGCACATGCGGTTTTGTTCCCAGGTGATTTATATCGTTTGTAACGGACGGTATCTTTCCTTCACAATGATCTGTGCCTTGTTTTATACTTTGGTTTAAAAAAAAAAATAACTTGCCTCCAACTAATCATAGGTTCTCATGGTGCATCTAGAGGTGTAGTCAGCTGTGAACATTTAGCTTGAGCGACGACATTACAATAATTATGACACCTCACAGCAAACACTCTAAATAATGTTTTCTGAGCAGGGAAATGGTCACATTTATTGAAACAGGGCACAAAGACTGCGACGTCTCCTCTTGCTGTCGGCCAGGATGATGGAGTGACATTACATGACAAGACTCAACCAAATATTCTGCCTGCCCAGACTGATAAATAATACGTTCAGGAACATGAACCTTTATTGGATCAAACAAATCTTCAGTTTGGCAAAATTCCAGTACACACACACACTCTCTCTCTCCCCCCACTTCGCCTCGCTCCCTTCAACCACCCCTTTTCTTTACTTCGCCCTCTCCAATGATTTATCCCCGTCTCAGTACATGACGCCACCACCCCCCCCCCTTATTTTAAACCCCCACCTGGCTGTCGTCGGGGACCCTAAATATAACATACGAGTTGAACAATTTCAAGGACTTGCGCCCGGGTGATACTCATCCGAATGGTGGCACTTTGTGTCGCAGTGTGTTTATCGCACGTCGTGAGGTCCTGGTGAGGTTGGATGTCAGTCAGTCTCTCCATTATCAGACATGTTTTTATTTTTCGAAATGCTAGGAGAAAACGTGTTTATCACACTTAATTTACAAAGAAAATCACATATCTGGTGGTAATAATATGTCATCCATGAAGTCAAGGACTCCTTTCTAGGCCTTTAAGCGCATTGGGCTTATAGTATTTAGACACATATTTTATAGACAAATCTACACTTTGTTGGTGATGTTGTCACACTGGCCACCTTTGCCTCCCAGGATTTTACCAAGTACGCATTTAGAGTCGTGTCGACCTGTGAGCCAATGTCATGTTTGAAAAAGTCCGGCTCCGTTGGAATGTTAACCCACGACCTTCCTATTGACCGGCAGGCGTCTAGCCACTAGACCACAACGGCTTAAATCCATTTAGAGAAAGCCCAAATGAACCAGGATTTTCAGGGTATATCCTATGCTTTATCCTACAGCTTGCATGCTACCAACCAGACACATGCCCACACACACACACACGTGACGTACTTTGTGAGCAATCCCATCCTGTGTAGCCTGGAAAACATCGACACTGTCGATCTCTACATTCTCCATTGCCGTGGCAGTTGTCTGGGCAGTTAGTATCCATTTCTGAAATGTAATCGTTTATAGTGAACATAACATATAGAAACTTTATTCTAATCACAACACAGGCGGGCAGAAATATACGTTGCTATTTTAATCAGACTAGAGAAGTGAGTAATCAGACTAGAGAAGTGAGTAATCAGACTAGAGAAGTGAATAATCAGACTAGAGAAGTGAATAATCAGACTAGAGAAGTGAGTAATCAGACTAGAGAAGTGAGTAATCAGACTAGAGAAGTGAGTAATCAGACTAGTGAAGTGAGTAGTCAGACTAGTGAAGTGAGTAATCAGACTAGAGAAGTGAGTAATCAGACTAGTGAAGTGAGTAATCAGACTAGAGATCAGACTAGAGAAGTGAGTAATCAGACTAGAAGTGAGTAATCAGACTAGAGAAGTGAGTAATCAGACTAGAGAAGTGAGTAATCAGACTAGTGAAGTGAGTAATCAAGACTACTAGAGAAGTGAGTAATCAGACTAGAGAAGTGAGTAATCAGACTAGTGAAGTGAGTAATCAGACTAGAGAAGTGAGTAATCAGACTAGAGAAGTGAGTAATCAGTAAGTAATCAGACTAGAGAAGTGAGTAATCAGACTAGAGAAGTGAGTAATCAGACTAGAGAAGTGAGTAATCAGACTAGAGAAGTGAGTAATCAGACTAGAGAGTGAGTAATCAGACTAGAGAAGTGAGTAATCAGACTAGAGAAGTGAGTAATCAGACTAGAGAAGTGAGTAATCAGACTAGAGAAGTGAGTAGAACTAGTGAAGTGAGTAATCAGACTAGAGAAAAGTGAGTAATCAGACTAGTGAGTAATCAGACTAGTGAAGTGAGTAATCAGACTAGAGAAGTGAGTAATCAGACTAGAGAAGTGAGTAATCAGACTAGAGAAGTGAGTAATCAGACTAGAGAAGTGAGTAATCAGAGTGGAGTAATCAGACTAGAGAAGTGAGTAATCAGACTAGAGAAGTGAGTAATCAGACTAGAGAAGTGAGTAATCAGACTAGAGAAGTGAGACTAGTGAAGTGATTAGTCAGGCTAGTGAAATGAGTAATCAGACTAGTGAAGTGAGTAATCAGACTAGAGAAGTGAGTAATCAGACTAGAGAAGTGAGTAATCAGACTAGAGAAGTGAGTAATCAGACTAGAGAAGTGAGTAATCAGACTAGAGAAGTGAGTAATCAGACTAGAGAAGTGAGTAATCAGACTAGTAAAGTGAGTAAGTCAGACTAGAGAAGTGAGTAATCAGACTAGTGAGTGAAATCAGCTGAAGTGAGTAATCAGACTAGAGAAGTGAGTAATCAGACTAGTGAGTAAGTGAGTAATCAGACTAGTGAAGTGAGTAATCAGACTAGAGAAGTGAGTAATCAGACTAGAGAAGTGAGTAATCAGACTAGAGAAGTGAGTAATCAGACTAGAGAAGTGAGTAATCAGACTAGTGAAGTGAGTAATCAGACTAGTGAAGTGAGTAATCAGACTAGAGAAGTGAGTAATCAGACTAGAGAAGTGAGTAATCAGACTAGAGAAGTGAGTAATCAGACTAGAGAAGTGAGTAATCAGACTAGAGAAGTGAGTAATCAGACTAGAGAAGTGAGTAATCAGACTAGAGAAGTGAGTAATCAGACTAGAGAAGTGAGAACTAGTGAGTAATCAGACTAGAGAAGTGAGTAATCAGACTAGAGAAGTGAGTAATCAGACTAGTGAAGTGAGTAATCAGACTAGAGAAGTGAGTAATCAGACTAGAGAAGTGAGTAATCAGACTAGAGAAGTGAGTAGTCAGACTAGAGAAGTGAGTAATCAGACTAGTGAAGTGAGTAATCAGACTAGAGAAGTGAGTAATCAGACTAGAGAAGTGAGTAATCAGACTAGTGAAGTGAGTAATCAGACTAGAGAAGTGAGTAATCAGACTAGAGAAGTGAGTAATCAGACTAGAGAAGTGAGTAATCAGACTAGAGAAGTGAGTAATCAGACTAGAGAAGTGAGTAATCAGACTAGAGAAGTGAGTAATCAGACTAGAGAAGTGAGTAAATCAGACTAGAGAAGTGAGTAATCAGACTAGAGAAGTGAGTAATCAGACTAGAGAAGTGAGTAATCAGAAAGTGAGTCAGACTAGTGAAAGTGAGTAATCAGACTAGAGAAGTGAGTAATCAGACTAGAGAAGTGAGTAATCAGACTAGAGAAGTGAGTAATCAGACTAGTGAAGTGAGTAATCAGACTAGAGAAGTGAGTAATCAGACTAGAGAAGTGAGTAATCAGACTAGAGAAGTGAGTAATCAGACTAGAGAAGTGAGTAATCAGACTAATCAGAAAGTGAGTAATCAGACTAGAGAAGTGAGTAATCAGACTAGAGAAGTGAGTAATCAGAGAGAGTGAAGTGAGTAATCAGACTAGAGAAGTGAGTAATCAGACTAGAGAAGTGAGTAATCAGACTAGAGAAGTGAGTAATCAGACTAGACTAGTAGAAGTGAGTAATCAGACTAGAGAAGTGAGTAATCAGACTAGAGAAGTGAGTAATCAGACTAGAGAAGTGAGTAATCAGACTAGAGAAGTGAGTAATCAGACTAGAGAAGTGAGTAATCAGACTAGAGAAGTGAGTAATCAGACTAGAGAAGTGAGTAATCAGACTAGAGAAGTGAGTAATCAGACTAGAGAGTGAGTAATCAGACTAGAGAAGTGAGTAATCAGACTAGAGAAGTGAGTAATCAGACTAGTGAGAAGTGTGAGTAGTAATCAGACTAGAGAAGTGAGTAATCAGACTAGTGAAGTGAGTAATCAGACTAGAGAAGTCAGACTAGAGAAGTGAGTAATCAGAGTAAGTGAGTAATCAGACTAGAGAAGTGAGTAATCAGACTAGAGAAGTGAGTAATCAGACTAGTGAATCAGACTAGAGAAGTAGTATCAGACTAGTGAAGTGAGTAATCAGACTAGAGAAGTGAGTAATCAGACTAGAGAAGTGAGTAATAATCAGACTAGAGAAGTGAGTAATCAGACTAGAGAAGTGAGTAATCAGACTAGAAGAAATCAGTAGAGAAGTGAGTAATCAGACTAGAGAAGTGAGTAATCAGACTAGAGAAGTGAGTAATCAGACTAGAGAAGTGAGTAATCAGACTAGAGAAGTGAGTAATCAGACTAGTGAAGTGAGTAATCAGACTAGAGAAGTGAGTAATCAGACTAGAGAAGTGAGTAATCAGACTAGAGAAGTGAGTAATCAGACTAGAGAAGTGAGTAATCAGACTAGAGAAGTGAGTAATCAGACTAGTGAAGTGAGTAGAGAAGTGAGTAATCAGACTAGAGAAGTGAGTAATCAGACTCAGACTATCAACTAGTGAGTAATCAAGAGAAGTGAGTAATCAGACTAGAGAAGTGAGTAATCAGAAGTGAGTAGACTAAGTGAGTAATCAGACTAGAGAAGTGAGTAATCAGACTAGTGAAGTGAGTAATCAGACTAGAGAAGTGAGTAATCAGACTAGAGAAGTGAGTAATCAATCAGACTAGAGAAGTGAGTAATCAGACTAGAGAAGTGAGTAATCAGACTAGAGAAGTGAGTAAGACTCAGACTAGACTAGAAGTGAGTAATCAGACTAGAGAAGTGAGTAATCAGACTAGAGAAGTGAGTAATCAGACTAGAGAAGTGAGTAATCAGACTAGAGAAGTGAGTAATCAGACTAGAGAAGTGAGTAATCAGACTAGAGAAGTGAGTAATCAGAAGTGAGTAGAGAAGTGAGTAATCAGACTAGAGAAGTGAGTAATCAGACTAGAGAAGTGAGTAATCAGACTAGAGAAGTGAGTAATCAGACTAGAGAAGTGAGTAATCAGACTAGAGAAGTGAGTAATCAGACTAGAGAAGTGAGTAATCAGACTAGAGAAGTGAGTAATCAGACTAGTGAAGTGAGTAATCAGACTAGAGAAGTGAGTAATCAGACTAGAGAAGTGAGTAATCAGACTAGAGAAGTGAGTAATCAGACTAGAGAAAGTGAGTAGATCAGACTAGAGAAGTGAGTAAATCAGACTAGAGAAGTGAGTAATCAGACTAGAGAAGTGAGTAATCAGACTAGTGAAGTGAGTAATCAGACTAGAGAAGTGAGTAATCAGACTAGTGAAGTGAGTAATCAGACTAGACTAGAAAGTGAGTAAGTGAGTCAGACTAGAGAAGTGAGTAATCAGACTAGTGAAGTGAGTAATCAGACTAGAGAAGTGAGTAATCAGACTAGTGAAGTGAGTAATCAGACTAGAGAAGTGAGTAATCAGACTAGTGAAGTGAGTAATCAGTGAGTAATCAGACTAGAGAAGTGAGTAATCAGACTAGTGAGAGGCTGAGTGAGTAATCAGACTAGTGAAGTGAGTAATCAGACTAGAGAAGTGAGTAATCAGACTAGAGAAGTGAGTAATCAGACTAGAGAACTGAGTAATCAGACTAGAGAAGTGAGTAATCAGACTAGAGAAGTGAGTAATCAGACTAGAGAAGTGAGTAATCAGACTAGTGAAGTGAGTAATCAGACTAGAGAAGTGAGTAATCAGACTAGAGAAGTGAGTAATCAGACTAGTGAAGTGAGTAATCAGACTAGAGAAGTGAGTAATCAGACAAGAGAAGTGAGTAATCAGACTAGAGAAGTGAGTAATCAGACTAGAGAAGTGAGTAATCAGATTAGAGAAGTGAGTAGTCAGACTAGAGAAGTGAGTAATCAGACTAGTGAAGTGAGTAATCAGACTAGAGAAGTGAGTAATCAGACTAGTGAAGTGAGTAATCAGACTAGAGAAGTGAGTAATCAGACTAGAGAAGTGAGTAATCAGGCTAGTGAAGTGAGTAATCAGACTAGAGAAGTGAGTAATCAGACTAGTGAAGTGAGTAATCAGACTAGAGAAGTGAGTAATCAGACTAGTGAAGTGAGTAATCAGACTAGAGAAGTGAGTAATCAGACTAGAGAAGTGAGTAGTCAGGCTAGTGAAGTGAGTAATCAGACTAGAGAAGTGAGTAATCAGACTAGAGAAGTGAGTAATCAGACTAGAGAACTGAG